TGGGTGTTTCAAGGTGTTTCAATCAACCAGCTTTACGTTCCCAATAAACCGTTCATCAAAACCATGAGAAGCAAAAGTAGACGTCCTCGGTTTACCAAGCTGGTGGCAAGTTTGTTTTTACTATTATAAGATCTTAATGAAATTTGAATCAAATATTTTGAGTTGTTTGCCAAGTTGGCTCTAAATAGGCCAATTGAGACCCTGAGTTGTTCCCATATCTACAGGTTTGAATGCTTACAGCGATTTTACCTCCACCGAGTGGTGCGTGGCTCAAGCAGGTGTATGAATTATGGTTCAAATACCTCTTAAAGTAAGCAGGCCAATTCGCAAGGATTCTTTCTTGTATTAGTTCAATTGTCTCTTATATACCTGATGGATCGTTAATCACCTTTGTTTTTTCCATTGAATCCTGAGAACAGAGTATATAACGTGAGTGTTACGCCAGAACAAACAAAGACTCAACAGTTAAACGCCCTTTGTTCTTATTTGTTTGGTTCTATGTATTTTTTGGTTCATGTTATTCCGCTCGTTGTTTTCACCACGTGTTGGGCAAGAAACTGGTCAAAATAAAACCTTTATGACAAAAAGCAAGTTTTCAAAACTCGTAATAAATAATCTAAACGTATCACAACCTGCCTGAATTCAAGCCATTATTTCAACTCCTCTTTCCTTTTTCACTAATTCCGTTTGTTTTTATCTTATTGTTCCCTTATCTGAATTTGTAACAATGAATAGAAATTCCACTCACCCCGAGAATTTTCTCTCTTGTAAACAATCAATTCTGACTTTTGTTTAAAGAGCTAGAAGGAAAGCGACGGTTACTAACAATAGACTCTTTTTTTTTTTTTTTTTTTGTATTCCATTGAATTATTATTCCTTGCAAAAGTCGGTGTTTATTTTATAATGCGTGTTAATTGAACCCTAGGGCGATAGGAACATTAGGTGACCAAAGCCTTATATTTATATTTAATAACTAAATGTGACAACACAGGTCAGTTTAGCATGGAGAGTAAAAATAAATATGAAGGAAAAAGCAACGTATTGGCAATTTCAGCAATCGTGAATTCGTTTGCTTGAAGACATAAAGACAGGTCAGGTTAAAGAGCGCTTTTGTGTTCACCACATATTGATAGAAAACAGAACAGCCTGATTATTACACGACAGATGGTCGGTAAATGGCATACATTGGTAAGACTTAAGGTCACATGGTAAGACCTTGGACTTGACGAGCAATTATTATGTAATTTTTGTAGATGTCTATTTCACATTCTTCCCTCGCTAACTTTTTAGAAAAAAAAAGATGGAAAGCACGATCCATTTTCACGATTTCTCGATATAAACCGCTCACTGAGCAGAAGCAATTTAAAGGGCACTCGAACTTATTTGAGGAGAAATCACTCCCGACCTTTGTAGTGCTTAACAATGGAACTACTCCCGCCGTGCGATATTCAGTCAATTTTAATTTGCCATTTTATCGAATGTTTTTCATGGAACAATATTATCTAACCGCACCACATCTGTTTTCACAAATATGCATGTATTGTGGTTTATCTATTTGAAAAATTGATTTGGTTAGGAATTTTCTTTAATTGTATGTATAAATTGTGTGTAATGTGCTGGGTGATCAAACTATTTTCTTTTTGTAGCATTGTTTAATGTTGAAATTTAGAGTATCTAAGATTACTTGAAGAGCATCATTTTACCCTTTTGCTGGAAATAAAAGAAAAAAAATGTGTACCTTACATGTGTAAATATGTGTTCCATATTTATCTATTTTTTTTTTAACTTTTAGGAGGCAAGCTCCTTCCATTAATCATAGTTGTCTTTGAAATGTGGAAGTAATTCAATTATAGTTTGCTAAAGAAGTGATGGTCATCGGTGACAGCAAATTTAAGTCATGAACTGTGATCAATATGTTCGAAGTGAATTTTATCCTTATTCGTGTCAAATACTACACCTTTGTAGATCTTTCAGGAATGTAGCTTGTTGAATGGTGTAACATTCTTCACCGTTGTTTTTCCTTTTATTATCCCTTTGACAGCCTAAATATGTTCATGGAGCTATGTTCATTATCTTTAATGCGATTTTAAATCAGGAAGAATCAGAATTTATCTCCTTGTTCCATCTTAGGAATTCTAAACGCAATTTAGTCAATCATCTTATTACTTAATGTTCATGCATGGCAATTAATGTGGATGACGAGAGGATTAAGCAGTGGAGAGCTGCTCTTAGATCAATCTTAATTTGCTTAAAACTGACTCTGTAGTGTCTCTGCCTGCAAACAGAATAATCTCATTATCTACCGATAAAGATTGGTGAATCGTGGTATCGTGGCAATGTTTTAGTTAAGTGGATTTGCTTACTTAATATAATTCTTCCGCTGTTTTGCTTGAGCACCATACAATACTCCATTCCACGCGTTCCGGGGTAAACTTTAAACTCTTTATTCCATACTAAAATCATTACTTTGATCCACAAGTTTTAAATTCGTTCAGGATTGGTTTTTGTCATTGTGTACGTTGTCTCCCCTTTTTCTAGCTTCCTTTTCTGTCGTTTGAAAACGTTTACACCAACATAAAATTTGCCGGGGATTGTAATAACAACTCAGCAAGCCAGGCGTTGTGTCTCTAAGATCCGCTTTTCAAATGTTCTCTGTCTCTTTGTGTAAAATTGAGCACGATTATCGTGCACGCTTAAAAGTGGTAGTACTCTAAATTTATTTTCCTTATTTCCTTCCATTAAGTGCATTGATCATGATTCACTTCTCAAACTGATTACTGAGAGACGTATAAATTTTTGAAACTAAATTCAATTTTCTGTCGTGTAGATTTATTTTGATTTAAATATCACTATAATAACGTTTTTCGTTGAAACAGGCCGTTTTGGGCACGACCTCTTAAAGTGAAATAAGCGCAACTTTGTAACGTTTTTTTGCTTCTTTGGTAGACTCGTTGTGGCGCTTCATGGCTTGAATTATTCCTGACGAACGATGTAAATATGTTTAAAACTGGGTCTGAATAGTTTTACATTTTACTCTTTACTTAGTTTTGCCCGGTATTTAAAAGATTCAAAACGCTTAAACTTTGCTAATCTGATAGAAATCGCGTAACCTTTATGGCAGCTTCAAACTGAAAAAATGTCTATATGTCTATATAATATTTACAAAACTCTGCGTCCATCAAAAGGCGAACGCGGAATTCGTACCTTCGAAGAATGATAGATTTGTCGAAGCCTCAATTTTCGAATAATATCAAGGACGCAGAGGAAAGAGAAATTCTACAATTATGTAGCACATGTGGCTGTTCGTGTCAGTTGCTATATTCAGCAGAATCTTCAATAAGTGTGATAAAGGGCATGGGCGACTTATCTTCCTCAGAGAAACTTAATCTTGGTATCAGAAAACATGGCGCAGTACATAGATAACTCCAACTTGAATAGCACTACCGAGATAAAGCCATGCTTCTCAAATTTGGTTATCTCACAACTTGTCAACGGTGAAGTCGAAATATTTAGTTAGCAGAGTTCTGCTAGGTAACATATGGCTTCTGTAAAGTTTTTCGAGCCGTTTATTTTAAAGGACGTCTATAACAGTAAAGTGAAGAAAGAGGACAAGACAGTGGTAAGAGTATCGACATTTTCAGGGCAACTAGAAAGGTTCTAAAATTATCCGTTATTTCAGACATAATTGGGTCTTACGGCTGTTGTTTATTAGGTCGTCAGACTACTGGCGTCTTTCACTAATTACATTGAAATGGTGATTAATATCTATTTCACTAGAACTATATAGATATCCGAAGTTATTCAAATTAGTAATCTCTTAAACTAACACTGTATGGTTACAATTAGAGTTTATCAATCGAGACATTAGCGCCAAGAATTTAGAGCTTGTTCTTACGTGATACTGAGGTAAGTCTAGGTTCGCGAAAGACTCGAATATCTTCTATTCATCATCTGGAAATCAAATAATCAGCGTTTCCAAACAGTTTGTGGAAATATCAAATTAGAGCTAAGAGCCGATAATAAACATCGAAAGCTCTCGGGCGTGCAGGAAGGGAATAATCCAAACAAAACCTCTTGTCTTATCACTGAAAATCAACATGGCCCCTCCTTGGCAGTATTTAGAAGATTGTCAAAGGTGTCATAATTGATTCAATCACATTGAACTATTCAAGACTTAACTTTAGTTGAGAGCTGATGTTTTGTACTTAGAAATTGAATGTATGGCTTGGTGGAAGTCTTATTACCATATCATTATCTTCGAAAGCACATCGCTTGCTTCAATTACCTCTCAATTACCGGTTGCATACACAGATGGAAATTGCTTCCCGAACAAGCCGATAATAGAGACACGTAGTAATTTGTATTTGAAAAAGCTCTAATTGATTTCCATAAAATTTTGTTTTCCTTTAAGATCCGATACTATCGGTTGAAAGCCCCCCGCTGACGTCTACTATTTGTTTTAAGGATTAGAGCAAACAATTAGGAAATACTTGTTTCCTTAGAGCTTTGATTTTTAGAAAACAAAAAATGTCTTTTGAGAGAGAGCCGAGATGTTTCCAGACTTAAATGGTGGTGTTTATTTTCAAAGGGAATACGGCCGTGAAGGAAATAAAGGTCGCGCCGTCGCTCTCTTTCGTGACTTTCGTCACCGGATGAAAGAAGATTCCCATCTCGAAACCATCCCATTACTTTTCTTTAAGTATCTTGCATATTAATCCTAATTATCAGACAAGTGGTTTTGGTTTTGAAGCTAGAAAGGCGGTACTTTTGGATAACAACTTCAAACCGACAGTGTGGGCACGTCAGACGAAATTATTTTGCAAATGCCTCGGAGGCAGTTCCAGCATGTTTGCAGAATTATCGAAGCCACCACGCCGACAGAAACAATAGGACTACCAAGCCGTAAATTGGTTTTAATGCGAGCCAATGGGAACAATTTAGCAGTTATCAAATCTTTTAAAGATGACACCCTGCGCGTCCTGTGGTTGGCTGCCATTTATCAACAACAAATTTGCTTGATAATGACACAATTATCTTATGCCCTATTAGGCAGGGTCCAATATTCGCGGACGTCAAACGGGTGAAATGGCTGTTCACAGCAGGTTCTCTTCAGTTCCGAACTAAAGCTACGGACGGCAGAGCAACTAGGCATTTCAGGGACGACACGCAAACGAAGAAGCCTTTTGTGCTAAAGAAAATCGAACTGCGATCCACTCACAAAGCAATGGAGGAAAGAAGGCCTGCCACGGCTAGAGGCATATCTTTCAGCGTTGAGTCGCTTATATCCAAACCAGAACAAAATGGCGACAGTCCGTCAAATTCATCCCGCACTCCAGGGTTACCGATTAACTTTTCTGTTGAAAGGCTGTTGGATAAACAAGATGTTAGGGGAGGAGAAGCTATAAGAAGCGCTGAACCGTCTATCGATTCGACTACTGAGAGCAAAGATACTAATGAACGCGTGGAATGGACAGAAGACTTTCCTTGGATGCATTCTACTAGATATGACCCTCCACCTCGTAAGTCAAAAATACCACTCGTGTATGAAATCCTATTTTTGGTTGTATCTCAATTGACCACGTTTAATGCTGTAGAATTATCGGAACTATTCCCCCTTGTCCGATAGGAAAGGAGATATTTTTCCGGGACTTGCTTTACTGACTACTCAGTGCGTGTCTTAACAGATCTTGTGTATGAGCTATACGAGTCACCCAGTACTCCGCACTAATCCTCCTTTCGGGGCTTCTCTTTCAGGGGTTCGCCCACGACTTAGTCCGACGAAATGCCAACTCAGGAAGCACAAGACTAATCGCAAACCGAGAACGCCTTTTACAACTTCACAACTCCTTGCATTGGAAAGGAAATTTCGACAAAAGCAATACCTCTCGATCGCTGAAAGAGCGGAATTTTCTGCCTCTTTGAACCTTACAGAAACGCAAGTTAAGATATGGTTTCAAAATCGAAGAGCGAAAGCTAAGAGGCTTCATGAGGCTGAACTAGAAAAACTCAAACTGGCGAGCAAGCCGTATTTACCACCAAGGTTTCCATCGAGTCTTGGACCTAGCTCCGTTTGTTGTGAGCCTTCGCCTTACGGTCCTCACTTCGCTTTTCAATCTTACGCGCACGTAAATTTGCCGAATTCACACTTCGGACAAGCTGTAGGTTACTCACACAGGAATCCTTATGGCCCTCCTCAAACTTTTCACAATTTTATGTACCACTAGACTAGTTGGCAAGTAGCGACATTTTCTACTACATATCTGTTTAGTTAAACTCTTTTAGGTTGTATTTTATTTTTTTATCTCAGTGATATTCTTTTTTTTTTTTTTCATCGAGTTTGCTCGACTAGCAGATTGGAATGGATTTTTTAAAAAGAATTTATCGGTGCTTGTGCTACAGAGTGAAATCCTTAAAGAAAATGATAATTTCATGTATTTTTTTATATTATATGAAATATATGGACGACTATTAACAAGTGAGCGAGAGTCTTGTGGAAACGTTTTAAAAGAGAGATTCTGGTTTCAGGCAATCAATTTATTTCAGGTTGTTGTGAGAGCAATTATAAAGACATCAAGCACGTGTTTTTGAAACAATTTCCGTAAAATTGCATTGACATTGAGACACACAGCAAACCATTATGTGAGACCCTAGCAGCTCACTCCTTGACGATGAAAACAATGCCTTTGTAATTATTTAACCGCCCTATTAATGGGAAACACCTCTCGTGCAACCCTGTCGGAAGGAAAGAATAGGCGTACAGCTAATTTAAGGCCGTATAGCTTCTCAGTATTTTTTTTCCCAGAGAAACTGGTTGTCAAAGGGTTGTACCTGCTAAAACTTGTGAAAAGGCCCTAATCATCTTGTTTTCGCTGGTGGGGCAAGTTAACTTTCGTCGTCTGTTCCGACGTTAGGTGTTGCCACGCTTCTTAGCGCATAAGAAACGTCCGGTAAGAAACTGGTGGCCTTATTTGACATAAATGAGTGGCTGCACTTATCAGCTTAATGCTGTTATTTATTCAGCCACCAGCGATAGTTACACATGAAACACCACTTCTAAATCGAAGTGAATGAAGATTTTATTCCCAAGTAACTTACATATTCTGTGTAAATATAACAGAAATAATCTATTGTAACATATGAATTGGAATAAAATTATTCTTTGTAGTAAGCTCCTCTCTTATTTTCGGGATAGCTCAATAGAACCACTTGTGCTGGTGCCACACTGCTTCCCGTTAAATCCCTCCTACTTCTGCGAATATCTTCAACCTGAAAGATCCAAACAGTTGGCGCAGTACTTCATAAAGCTACCTGCCGATGGCCCTTGGTAAATGAACACACCTACGCAGCTTTCATCCATATGGTGTTCATTAGAATATAACAGATGAGAACGCAATGTCGCTCTGTGATAAGAAAACCAGACTTTTATTATTTGCTTCTTGAAAAAGTCGTCACTCAAATGACAGCTTAGACATGTGTCTCTCTCAAGAATCTGGCACAAGATCGTTTACGCTTCAAAATTTGGCTTATCAAGCCTCGCCATAAATTTTTGTGGAGTGTTTCCTGAAAAAAGAATTGACATGTTGGCTTGTGCTACTTTTTAGGTGATTAATAATTTGATGGAACGAGAGGGTTTCTCTTGCTCGTGGTTAGCGTGTTAAAGTTTATCGTTGTGTCTGACAGGAGACTTCGCCTTGTTTCATGCACCTTGTAGCTTCCTTTGAAGTTTGGTTTATATTTTTTTTCACGCTAGTATTAATGCTCTTACACTGTAGCACTATTTTACCACTCTTAAATGTTATTTGTAGAGGTGTTAATTTTCTTGAAAAACTTTTTGAATAAAAGACAAGGGTTTATAATCGTAATGCATAGAAAGCCACTTTTCCACAAAGACTAACTTTATTTGGTAAGCAGATGATAATTTGTATGCCTTCCTTTAACAAACTTGTGTGTTGAAGAGTTCTCATTCACAGTACGAAATAATGATTTTTTAAAATAACACTTGTTAATCTAGATGAAATTTGAAATCATTGTCGAGCATATTGTAGCGTAAAATTATGTGCTTGTTTATCCTTTCAAGCGAATTAAACACTTGCATTGAGACCGAGGGAATGAATTATTTTTGACGTTTTTTCTTTCGACAATCATTTAATGATAAACACTTAATGGATTTTTTTATTTACATTTCGGTCAGCTGGAATTCGCTCGTGGCAAGTTTCTATCCTTGTAATAAAATATTAACATGTTTTTTGAGTTCGTGAATTTAGGATGAAGTATGTTTGTATCTTACGACAGATAAACTTTTCATTATTCTAGTGGTTTACTTAGGCTGATGAAAATCTTTCAAGTGAACCAATGTGAAGTACATGGTCCACTTAAGGAGAAATTATCTTGTGTTTACTTAGCGAATAAATATGAAAACGCTACTTATCTTGGACAAATTACATACCAATTAGTACTCAGCGGGTCTCTTGAGAACGCCTGGCGTCTCTGTTTGTAAAGTGATTCATTAATAAGCAATTTTACAAAAGGCAAACTAATTAAAAAACGCTTCTGTCGGTGCTTTTTGTGATTCGTTTGAGAACCACTTAAAAGAGACTGGAATAACTTCAAAATGCGAAGGCGGTCCTGAAAGATGTTCAAATTGAACTCCTTGAATTGCGAATACAATAGATGCAGTAACGACAATGTGGTGAAACTGATGTGTATTCAATTGCAAATAACGCTAAAACGGCATCGTTTAAACAAAGACACTGCCCTGTTTGCGCAATTTGTTCTCATTCGTAAGACCTAAATGAAACATAGCGGATTGTTTATGGCAAAATATGACGGCTCGAGACCCAACGGTTTCATAAAGTACCCCCTACTGTTCAGCAAATCAAAATCAATATATCAGTTTTGGCCTTTCAAGTCTCACGTCATCAAACAATTCCTTTTTTTTTTTTGGGTCAGACAATCCGTTTCTCACAATTAAAGAAGCCAAGTGATAGATTCTCTATTGTAACTTAAAGGATTTTAGAGAATGTCAGGTTTGTAAGCGCTTCTTACAGTTCACCATTTGGCCGAATAATAATGCGCATCACACGCTTCACTTAATCGCGGCAGCTTTTGATATTATTATCACTTTAGCCAGAATTATTTTCCAGTCTGTCTCCGTGATATTGTACCACGGTACTTATGTAAAGCTGTTTCTAAGAGGAGCTAATTGCTTTATACGTGTGCCAATTGAAAACATTAAGTGAAGGTAAGTTCTTTATTTATGAATTATTGCGATATGTGAATCTTGAGAAGTAAAATCAGACAGCAATGTGTCGCTACAATTGTTGGAGGATTATATTTTAAAAAAGAGACAACAAGCTCATTTGTTTTGATTGCTTCTTTGGTCAGCATTGATTGTGATTTTCATGCTTCAGTAATGACTGGAAGTGTTTTTGAAAGAACCGATTATTCGACAAACGTGACTGACGACATGAAAAGGTTTAATTTTGAATAGACTCAGGAAGTTTCCACGACAAGAGGACAAAAAGGCACCATGAATTTATAAGAGGTCGCCATAAATGTTCGACGGACCATAATCGTCTATTAAGGAGTTACAATAAAGGCGATCTTTTTCAGTCTTGAACCTGCATAGATGAGCTCGTCGCGAAATCCACAAACAAAGGTTTATTGTCTAAAGCTGTCACCCTCACAGTGTGACCCAAAGCGCAAAAGGCGAACTGGGAAAGTTGTTAGATCCTTGCTGTGGTGCTTTATTAAGGAAGCTTTAGCTTTCATGTTTGAGGTCTTAAAGAAGCAAACGGAAAGTAAGGGTACTTCATCTTTATTTCGTATGTTTGTCAAATTTCCGCTAAATACCTGCTTTGACGTGCTACTTAACTAGCAGAAACAAAACAATAACTTTAAAAAAAGGCGTTACTGGTTGTTTCAAGCGAGGAGGCCTTGCAAGTGATTTGTGACAACAATTCTATCGCGAACAAAAGAGTGAACGATAAAAGATGTTTCGAATGGATGAATAGTGATTTGGAGTGTCCTCGTTAAAAAGGCTGTGGCGAGGCAGAAAATCTATCATTACTTAGCGCTGGGCTGCTTGTTTATTCAATTTGAGGTTTAAGTGTCGTGGTAGTAAAAGGATTGAATTGCTACTGCATTGGAAAAAATATGTCCTTCAAGATTTTCTTTTTTTATCTTCTTGTTTATCATATTTTTTATAAAAAAAAAGAAAACCGCTATGCTAGTTGTTTCTTTATGCAGGTGAATTTAATCATCTAAGAAAAGTTATCAATACAAGTGGCTTCGCTCTCGATTAACTTCATTTTCCTCACTTTGCAAGGCATTCATTGGGTTTTAATTCCCTCTTAGTTGGGTGGAAACACATAGTAATGGACTCAGGGTTAAAATCCTGTGAAGTCTTAATCTCAACTCTAGTTTGGATGTGAGTAACTACTTTTTCTAGAACATCATGCCACCTCCTTAGAGCCCGTCGCCTTGTGCGTAACAGACAAGTATTACTTTGCTTATTACTGGCGATTTTTGTCGGCAGCGTTCATCATTCGTCGGCGGTTCTTATCGCCTTAGCTCATTTTTGGAGCTTAGCTGATAGCCCCAATCTCAAGCGTAAGACCAGGATTTAAAATTTGCACACCTCAAAATACAAGCGAATAGAGGAATGTTATCCTTTTCAGTTCTTACTTCTTGTTTCAATCTCAGTTTCAATATCTTGTTTACAACTTGCCGATTTTTTTCCATACTTTTGAGGGTGGAATGGCTCCGTTTTATTGTGGATATTCGTGGTAGGAGGAAGAAGTATCGATATTCCCGGCTACTTTTTATTGTGGTCGAATGGGTCACCTGTTTAAGTAACGCCTAGTGTCCAAGTGTCACCTTTACTTCCAGTCGGGAGTTATCTCTCTACCCTTAATGTCCAGTGTTCAATTATATGAAAATTTAGTCATAGTAATGAGCTTACGAGACCGAGAAATAGAGACAGTTTTTCTGACAATTACAGTATTCAACCCTGTCCCGTGATAAGGTAAACTTTCTTGGATCTCTCATTTTACAATAACGGACACTAAGTCTGCATATGCCTAGTTTTAAGTTTTCCTACGGTGTTTAATGTATTACTTCTGTCGCGTCCCCAACTTTACTTATCATTGCACGTTAAGAAACGATTCTTTTTTACAAGTTTGAAGAAACACAACAGATTTCTTGTAATGTGACACTATTAGGATAATCCAACAATACAACAACGATGCTTTAAATTGTTGTACTCATCTACTATAAATAAGGCTCAAGAGATGAACTTGATATGAAAGAAAAAAAATAGGTGTTAAAAGGATTCAAAGAAAGTCGAGAAACAGGATAAAATTGTTTACGCTTTTTATAGGATTTGAATTTTCACAAAAACATCATTTGCGCCTACAGACAAAGACTTCATGAAGTTTTAGTCGACAGGTTTGTTAATAATAGTTGATGGAACACTTCAAATCTTGTTACGATATTACCCGTCTTATGTCTCATTTAGTTACCTTTTTTGTATCGCTATACTGAGAATTTTATTCTGGCTGGTTAGTTCTGAGGCAGTTGTCAAGAAAGCTATATTTTGTCATTGTCTTAATAACCTGTTGCATTGTTCACCATTTAGTGGCAAATAAATTACTCTTAATATTTCCCAGTGTGTTTCTTGAGGGCTTCTTTACCACGAAGTCTCGTGATTTGTCTCTCTCCCTCTGATTCTTGTTTGCGAAAGCGTTACTTTATGCGTGAACCTCTCCATTGACTTCCTAGAAGTGTTTATTCCTCGTCAGAAGCTTTGTTTAGCGACGCAGTAACACTGTCCATCTGTGTCCTCGGCTAAGTCAATGATTCAGATCTATTTCCTTTTCTAGCAATTGACTTTTCTGCAAAAAATCGCCTTTTAGCAAAATTTCTTTTCTCTTTTCCTAACTGTTTTGATTTTTGTGCCAAGTTTGCTACTTATTGTGAAGTGATATTGAACTAAGGGATAGTCTCCATAACTGTTGACAAAGCGTGAACACATCTTGTAAATTATTTAACGTCAGAGTTGATAACAAAATACCCAGATCATTAATTGATAGTATCAACAGCTGTCAAGCCTTCT